AGCGTGGTATAGAGCCGTGGGGTCTGGGGATTCGTTCTGTAAATGTGTAAATGTACGTGGGGTTTATTTCCTTTGAGGGGATCTAGGGTGGTGGTTTAGGAGGTTGCATTTACTGTAGCATTAGTTGTGGGGATTTTTAAGGACTGGTTGTACTTCATTTACATTTTGTGGGGTTTGTTTTTTTTCTATAAGCACGTCTTCAGGCTTTGAAGAGCTGCACTGTTTTTGCTGAACTGTAGTTCCTCCGAGGTGGTTGTTTGCATTTTGGGAGGGCAGCTGGTCGCCTTGCAGGAAGGTCTGCAGGTTACGTTGGAGGAGGGCTCTGGGGCGCTTGGTTTGACTTCTTTCCAGGGTAGGTTAGTTTTTCTGCGGTGTCTCTGATGCCAGAACAAGGCCCCAGAATGAACGGTTTCTCTCTGGGGGAGCTCTGCTGGCTCTTCTGCTGCCCGCCTTGCCCCAGCCGCATCGCTGCCAAGCTGGCCTTCCTGCCCCCGGAGCCCACCTATACCGTCCTGCAGCCCGAGCAGCAGCAGGAGGCCGGGGCGGCAGCTGCGGCGGGGACCCCGACGGGATCAGGCACCTGCAGCCTGCACTTGAGCGAGCGGGCGGACTGGCAGTATTCGCAGCGGGAACTGGATGCTGTGGAAGTGTTCTTCTCCCGCACGGCTCGAGATAACAGGCTGGGCTGCATGTTCGTACGTTGTGCCCCCACTGGCAGGTACACGCTGCTCTTCTCACATGGTAATGCTGTGGACCTGGGCCAGATGTGCAGCTTCTATATTGGCCTTGGCTCCCGCATCAACTGCAACGTCTTCTCTTATGACTACTCTGGCTACGGGGTGAGCACCGGCAAGCCCTCTGAGAAAAACCTGTACGCAGACATTGATGCAGCCTGGCAGGCCCTGAGGACAAGGTAAATGGATGTTGGGGACAAGTTATTTCTGTATCTCCATTTAATCCTAGTAAGCCCAGTATCTGCACAATTAACCTGCTGAGAGGTGGTGGGGAAGGGTTTGTAGATGGTTTGAGTTATTTCAATGGCCTCGCTAGATGTTCCACCAACAGCTACAGCGTGATTTGCTGGATGGCTTCATTTGCTAAAAGACTGTGCAAACCATCATCCTTGGGCTTTTTTTAGATTTACGGGTTTATTCAGCTGTAGTATAGGTTAGCCATTGCTTCACCATTGAAAATCTCCATCTTGAGCAGGAGATACTGCAGTGGTTGCAGTTTGAGCTTGCAGGATGCAAAAAAACCCTTTTATTTGAGACTTGCCCACCATTGTCTATACTTAGAGGTAACCTACATGAGCCAAAGCTTTAACTAAATTTGGCAGTAGCTTAGGCTAGTGCTTACTAAGAAATGGCTGGTGTTCTGTGATGCATCTGGGATTTCAAACAAGCTCGTGCAACATAGACGTCTTTCTTTTGGCAACCAAACAACAGTTGTCAGACTGGGTAAGGTAAAAGTGTTGACAGGTGGAAGTAGAGCTGGGTATTCTGCCAGGAGGAAATGCTGAAGTAGGTGGCATCCAAAGGGATGGAGCAGCAATGAGAAGACTCTGGCAAGGTGGCATGGCCGGAAGGAACAGGGAGCCCTTGCCTTAAATCCTGAACAGAACTGTTGCCTCCAGCTCCTTGCTACAACTGATTGACATCCCTGGGCCTCTCTTGCTCCTTCTGACCACAGAAACAATGAGTTCCTTTTGCGTTGTGTAAGTGGTTCTTAAAGTAGGACCTCGCAAAACGTATCCTGAAAGGGAGAGCTTTAAAAAGCTTAAATTGTTGCAGTAGCGTAGATGAACTTGGCTTAGGTGAAGTGAGTATTTAATGTCTATCTTAGGGTACGTGCCAGCATCAAAAATAGTGTCCGGAGTTGTTACTAATTTAGGTAATTGGCTTTTCAAGGATCCGGGGATTGGTCAGTTGTGGCGTCCAAACGGCTTTTGACATTGGTCTGCCCAAGTCAGGTTAAGAGCATGGGGGAGAAAGGCTTAGGGGGAACTTGTGCTTTTGTATATGTGTTCTGGCTGTTTGGTGAGTAAACCAGATTCTGGGTTCGTTTTCCAGGACACACTCTAAATTTTTTTTTTTTTCCGCTTGAGTATAAATAATATGTTTTTATGCAAAGAAATAATTTTTATATGCTGTATGCAGAATAAATTACTAAATGCCACTACTACACATATGGATGATGTAAATAAGGTTTAAGGAAGGAAAAGTGCTGTGTCTAAGCCAAGACTAGTTAATGCTTCTCCTTCAGTTGCTGTGTTTTCTTCGTTTCACTTAATGTTTAGTTGATGATATTTTTTTTATCAAAGCCTTCTAGAGGTCTGAAAAAGTGCTTTCACATCTGCCTGGAAGTGCCCCTGTCTCGACAGGCATTTAGTATGTGTTTAAGATCTACGTAGATCCAGAACAAGGGGTTCCTTAAGTCTTTTGAGAAGCCTGACCCAATAGGTGATGCCAAGATGTGCCTAGATTGCTCTGAGATAATTGGGCTCCTCATTGGAGCCTAGTCTAGTCCTCAAAGTGGGACTAGAGGAACTTTATGGTTTTATATTGGAGTCCTTTCTGTAGTTTATGCAAGATGTAGGTTCTGCTTTCCTCCTTAAATTGGGGGGTTGAAATTTGCCAGCTCTTAACTTTGCAATGTTTGTAAGTCCCACATCATAGTGCTACCTTGAGAGTACTGATAGAGTAGTTGTGTTATCATTGGTTAGATTTTTGGGAGCCAAAGGAAACATTACAGTATTTTAGGTGCCCGATAAAGAAATCGGGTACTGTAAAATGTGAGCTTAAAAAATGTCTTCATAACATGTATGAGCCAAAACAATAGTCTTTCTGCTGATGAATTCTCTAAGTGGTAGTGTGAAGTTTACAAGACTGATCATTTCTTAGTCCTTTTTAATAAGTCCAAGTGGCTCACAATTAAGTGAAATATTCTACTGTGAAAATATAATCTGCTCCTTGAGGTACAATGTCACATTATCCCGTTTCTGCTGCAGCAGTTCATTGGTAGCCTCCAAGAGCTTGTGTGTACTTTAATTCTTAATGCAAATTCCTAACATTTGGCCTGTAGTTGTGGTAGTGAACTGTAATGCAACATTAAAAGTGAAGTCTTGAAACAGGAGAGGTTTGCTGTGCCATCAGAAGCATTTAGTTGTCTGTGTTAAATTCAGTGGGAAGCTGTTGCTCTTCTGAATCCACCAGATGTTCCACCTGGCAGCAGGAAGGAATCACTGAAATGTTGGAAGTCTGAGATTTTTCCTTATTTTTTCTGGTATTTTTTGTTGTTGTTTGTTTTTTGTTTTTAATTATGCCTAGGAAGTACCACTGATACTTAGCAAATATTAGTTTATCGGTGTATTTTGAAAGTTGCCCTGAGTGAGGCAGGAATTAACCCTACACTTGGACAAAACAGATTGCTGACAGATTTTAGAATTGATGGTGAGCTGACTGTGGTTGCAAACATGGCTGCAAATATTGACTGTACTTTTTCAAGGTACTGAAATGAGTATCTTGCTATTACGTACATGTTTAGGTATCCAGCCTTACATAACGATTATAAAACTCATCTTGTAAACAATGGATGAAAAGTAAAATCATCAAGTTTTTTTGTTCAGTTTCGATTATCAGCCTGTCTTTGGAGAATCAATGTCAACTATTCTCTCTTCTTTTAGTCTTTGTAGAGAGTAACTTGTTTTCCTTAATTCTAATTAAATGAGTATCTCTCCTCATGAAGTATGCTTTTAAATGCTAATTTTACTAATTAAGTTTGTCTTTCAGTTCAGGTAAGATGTTGACTTATAATTTTATTCCCTTGAAATGGGTTTTTATAGATGTTCCTTCAGAGGTCTAACTGTAGCATTGGTTGCTCTAGTTCCAATAACAAGTATTAATCAGTAATTAATTTAGGCTTTTATATGTATTTATTTCCACTTGGTTAACAAATTTCCATCTGGTATCTCAATGTTTCTCAAAAAGAATCTTTGGTTTCATTGCTTCAGCTGACATTTTTTGTGAATGTTTTATTTTAGGCAGGCTGGTCTGTTTCTGTTCTGTTTGTTCCAAAACCAGACTGAAGAGAGGCTGTATTGGACTCTGTCTTCTCTCATGGTCCATATGGTTTTAAGTTGCTGCTTTTTATTGAGATGTGATTAACTCTAATCCTAATATCTGATGGACTTAGTACAACATCTGCACAGAATGCCTTGATTGTCGTCCAACTCCCCCCTTTCCTGAATTCCATATGGGAAGGTTGAATGTTCTAATGCTTTCACAGTAAGACAATGTACAGTATTTAAAAACAGGATACACACTTAGGGTTTGGGGACAGTGCTTCAGCAGAAAACCATGACTGCTTTGTTGATTGCATGCTATCTGCATTAAAATCAATTTGTATGCTCTCTAAAAATGTGGAGATTTGTGGAATGTTTTAAATTCCCAGTCAAGTGAAGGTAGGCACCGCTTCCCCATTCTCTCTGCTTCTGTAGTGTCAAAAAAGAGAAGCCGTTAGTCCATCTTTTGAATATTGAAAGGAGGTGAAGAAAATGTAGTTAATAAATGGCTTTGAAGAGACGTTCTTGTTGCATTTAACAAACCATAGCTTGATGTACTTCTATAGTGCACAGTGTAAACTAGTATCTTCTGTTCCTATTTAAGCTTTTGGTAAATGATAGATGTTATCGTAAGGTTAAATCCCTTATTCTTAAAACATGTACATTGGAGCTTGTCTTTCAGTCCACAGGAGAGCATTGGTTCACTTCCATTTCTCATTATGCTCCTTAGTCAGTATGGCATGATGAAGGGAATGGAATTGCGAAATGCCATAGTAAAATGCAAGGGATTGTGATCAATCGATAGTAGATAGTTTAGAATGTTTAAATAGTTTTTAAAAACTTTTTTCATCAAATTTAATGTTAAAAAAGAACTCCAAACCTTTTATTATATGTGAATTTTATTGTGGTGCTGGTTATCAGTCTTACTGCTGTTTCCTTTACAGGAGGCGGTGGAAAAGTATTCGCCTTCATTTGAATAAAATCAGGAAACACACCTAATTGGATTAGTCTAGAGTGATAACTAATCCTCTGAGGTTGTGTCAGTTCATCTCCATTCTGATTTGCTGAACTGGTTATGGCTTCCTAGGTGAATAATAGCTTCAGGTTTTTTTACCTGGATTTATCAAAATAGTTAATTTCTACTTTAATTTGCTTTGCAACAGTATCTTCTTTCACTAGACTGTGTTTCTGTGCAGGATCTAACTCGGGTTCTTTAGATTGAATACTTGGAGATTTTGATTAAAAGTTACTGACTAAATTCTTGATGTGGCCAAAGGCAGTGCGTGGCAGAGTTAGTGTAAATAGTCCTGGAGTAAAGGGTTCCTCTTGTTCATGGTGCATCACCTGGTAAATTTTTCTGTCATTGACTTTGATAGGTATTTCCCACTTCCAGTTTTTTAGTAATGTTGACATGGTATCTGCAAAGGATTATTTAAAGAGACTGTTATCTAAAACTTAACTTATTCTATGTGCCACAGTCAGTACTTCAACAAAAACTGCACACAACTTGGCTCAAAAATAGAAACATACAGAATAGTCTCCTGTTGTTGTCCATGCAGTGAGCAGAGATTAATTCAGATGATGAGCATCCCAGGGCCAAATACCAACAACTGTTTAAAGCAGGTGCTCTGATGTTCAAAGTTATTCAAAATGTTTACTGAGCTTGGTGTCCTGTTACATAGTTTAGTCACTGAAGTAAAAGTAGTTTTGATAAATATTTCTCTATTCCTGTCAGGACTGCAAGATCAAAGCTTGTTTAAAAGAGACAAATATATTTTTTCACTGTTAAGGATGTTTTGCAACTGGTATTATTTGGGAAGAAAAATAAGCTGCCAAAGAAGGTTTGGCTAACA